TTCATGTGCTAACATAATATTTTCCCCTATCAGCCTCCCTTTAATAAAAGCAGTTTGGTTCTCACTAATGACACTAGGAAACACAACACTCAACCTCTTAGCCAAAAATTTTGCAATACATTTGTAGAGGATGTTGCAACGAGCAATTGGCCTAAAAATTTTCATCTCCTCAGGGGAATTAACCTTAGGAACAAGAGTAAGCAGGGTGGAGTTTACCTCACTAGGCATAGAGGAGTGATTGAAGCAATAATGAATAGCATAAGTAATCTCAACCCCAAGAATATGCCAAGTGGCTTGAAAAAACTTTGATGAGAAGCCATCTGGACCTGGACTTTTGTCCCCATTAAAATAAAACATTGTTTCTCTAACTTCCTCAGCTGAAACTGGACTGCAAAGTTGATGCCCCTCTTCCAACTTATGCACTATCAACCCTCTAAAATACTCAACCGATTCCTGTTGAACATCAAAATCCGATTACCCAGTAGCTTGGAGTAGAAATCCATAGCAATACGGCACATACCCTCCTTGTCAGTTACTCTGTTACCCAATTCATCAACAAGAGACCTTATCATGTTACGCTTCTGTCTAACCTTGACTGATCTATGAAGATATCCAGTATTGGAATCCCCTTCCTTTAACCAGATTTCCCTAGACTTCTGTCGAAGGAAAGATTCCTCAACAACTCTAAGGGATTTCTGCTCTACTGCGGCAACTTTCTCCCTCTCAAAAGAACTACTTCATGGCTGAGCTAATGCAGTTGCTTGAGCAATAAGCAATTCCCCATCTTTCTCTTTAACTCGATCTCTAAGGTCGGAGTACTCCTCTTTATTAAGCTTCTTAAGCAAACCCTTACGGATTTTCAACTTCTCACAAACTCTCCCCAATGGAGGACCAGTACCTTCCTTAGACCAAGCCTCTTTAACCAAATCCATAAAATTGGGATGTGCTAGCCAGAATTTAAAGAACTTAAACGGTTTGGGAAGATACTTTATAGTAGAATCAGTGGCAAGCAGAATAGGGCAGTGATCGAATACAGAAGGATCAAGCAAATCAGTAGTGCTAGACCCAAACTTATCCAACCACTTGATGTTAACAAAATCCCTATCTAACCTTCGACCTATAGGATTATCTTCCTGCTTATTGTACAAAGTGAACCATGGTCCAGATGACTTGTGCTCTTCAATCTCTAGATTATATTGAAACTGCCGGAAATCCTGCATACTACTAGAGTGAGTTGGAGAGTCTGAAGCCTTAGAAGGATTCGATATAGCATTAAAGTCCCCCAGGATTAACCAAGGCTTCCCAACCAACTTGAGAATATCCAAATCAGCATATAACTTCCTTCTACCCTCCTCTTCATTAGATGCCTAGACAAATGTAATGAAGAAAGGATCCCCAAAACTCACCATAGCATGAATAAACTGATAAGATTTGTGCAAAACTACCAGCTTAAGATCCTTCCTCCAGGAAGGCAGGTCTTCCCCAATTGATTTGCATTGTTAGCTACTTCTCGACCCCAACCGGGGAACCTTTCATCAATCAAAACTTCTTCTTTCGCTGCTCTAACTCGTGGTTCTAGGATTGTACTATATCTAAACAGTATTTATTTACTAATTTCTGTATAGCTTTATTTTTATCAGGGTCCTTAAAACCCCTAGTATTCCATGTCAAAATCTTCATTGCTTTTTGCCCCCACGACATCCCCTTCTTATCCAAGGAACTAAGAAAGGAGTACCACTTTTTTCATTCTTCCAAATCCCCTTCCCATTCAGATTAGAGCTAGAATCCACCCCTGAAGTTGGCAATGCAGGCAGCTTCCCAGCCACAGCTGATGAACTGCTTGCAGAGACCAATTGCTATGTAGTTAGAGGACTCCCAACATTCGTTGGTGATCCTTTTACAATATGAGCAAAACTAACAGTGGATGCCTGATTTGTTGCAGGAGATTGTATCCCTAAAGTAGGAGCAGGCTCTGGATCAATCTGTCTCACTCCCTGATTCTCAATTGAAGGTAAAACCTCTGCAGAAGAATCAGAATTAGTTTTTTCCTCTTGCACCGTCCCTACATCCTCAGACATAACAACCTCCGCCTCGGGCGGAATCTGCTTCCTCACCTGCTTTAGCTGCCACTGTTTACCACTCTTAGCCAACTTCTCACAATCGTGACCATAGACCCCACAAGAAGGATAAACTAAGGGCTTGTTCAAATATTCAACATCCACCACAAAATCAGGATCATCATCGGGATAGAGCCGATTTCGAGAAGGAAAACCACAATCAGCAGGAAGATCCACACGAACCTTCGCATACCCGAGTTGAGCACCAATCTTAGTAGGGTTATCCATCCATAAAGGAGGACCAACAATACTAGCAACCCATTCCAAACCCTCAAATGTATGGTATTCTAAAGGAATCCCCCAAATCCTTACCCAAATCGGGAGAGTTTCGACGACAGGACCCACAGGTTGGATTCCCGACGACCATTTCCGAAAGAAGACCGGATTACCTTGGTAGTGCCATTGACCTGACTGAAAAACCCACCTACTGGTTGAGGTTGAGGGAAATTGGAAAACCAGAAGCTTAGCTAAAGTAACCCATTCCAAACCCTCAAATGTATGGTATTCTAAAGGAATCCCCCAAATCCTTACCCAAATCGGGAGAGTTTCGATGACAGGAGCCGCCGGTTGGATTCTCGGCGACCATTTTCGAAAGAACCCACATACTGGTTGAGGTTGAGGGAAATTGGAAAACCAGAAGACGAGCACCAAATTTTGAGACTCGAACAACACCATCTCTCCCCCCCAACGTCGTCGCCCACTGCTGAAGAAGCGTGACCTTCGGGGCCGGCCCGATGAAGTGGCCTATAAGGCAATCCTTCCATTTCTCAACTCCAAGTTGTTTGACTTCACGAGGAATTCGGAAGCCATCCTGAACCCTCTCCGGCTGCCGGAACTTCATCCTATTCGCCTCTGGGACTTGAAATTGCTTCGCCCATGTCACGGGCTCGCCGGCCTGGGCAGAGCTCGACGACGAAGCCGCCATGGCGGCGGAATTTTTTTATACTATTTTAAACACATAATTGAAGCCCAAATTTTATGTTATTTTAAACTCATAATTAAAATCCATTATTCCATAATAAAATCTAGCCCTATACATAGTGAAGGTCTTGGAGGTCCCTATAATTTGGACTCTGTGTCGGAGGGCCAACACGCACTCGAGCATGCAAAGTTGCACCACGGTTCGCCAATGCAATGATGCAAGGGTGTACCAAAGATTTCCACCACGAACCAGCAACAAGGTTGCATCATTGCTCCAGCCACAATCATTCAGGTTAATGTGCAAATTAAAGTTGTAACACCCACCTAGGTTTCCATGATAGAATTTATTTTTCTTCCAAGTTTTAGATTTGGGAAAAAAGAGAGGAGAATTTGTCTAATCGGGGTGAATGAGCATGGTATTTGATGCAAAAACTAGGGATGGGCTGATGTTGATGAGATTCCCCATACCTGCAATTTTCTATTCAACCTTTTTCTAATATATGGTCTTTGTCTTGACCATGTTTTCTGTGCATAATTGGTACGTAGGTGTTTATTTCCCCTCGGGCAGGTAGGCGGCAACGTCGTCCCCACATCATTTATGTACCCTCACATGGCTGCTTAATCGAGCACCAAGCTTTTGTGAATTTGATTATGAGGACTCGCGCGGTAGTACTTCTTATCACCGCCTTGCAACATACACAGCCATGAGGACGTACAGGTTTGCTTCGCCAATAATGGTTATCTATGCATGGAGTGTTTTCAAGCTCTCAAATTGTCAAAACATATTAATCATTGTATATATATGTTGTAACATCCCACGTTTTTTTTTTTTACAAAATATTGTTCGTTTTGTGGTTAGGTCCTCACAATTTTAGCTTTGTCATGCATATCAAGGTAACTTCTCTTAATTAAGGTCAACCATTTTGCAAGTTCGACAGTGGGCACGTTTAACTTCGAAGTTCGTACAATACAAGTAGTATTCTATTTCACCTCAAATTAAAACACGTATTGTCAAATGAACCATTTGAGTCTTATATATCCAAATGAACCAAACAATTTAGACTCAATTAAAACCCAAACCAAACTCAAAATAATTAAAAATACATTTATATTCGATTCAATACCCATATGAATCAATATAATTGGGTCAAATAGCAAATGGATTTAGGTATGCTAGATCCATTTGCTATATTGATCCAATTATAGCATATGCTATTTAGAAAAGCAATTTGCTGTTGGTCAATATAATTGGGTCAAATAGCAAATGGATCTAGCATATGCAGATTGACCAACCAGTCGACAAAATCCATTCTATTATGCGCACAACGATGGGCGTTGGGCTTACAACTACAAGAGATAAGTACTCAAGTGCAATTATAAAAAAAATGTACTCCAAGTGCAAGTTAAGAGTCGAACAACATAATCAAGGATGCTATTTATTGGAGGAAGATCATCTGACCAGATATCCTTAACAGCAATTCCTAATTTGCCACCTATATGGCGTTGCAATTTGAACAATTGTCGCGAATGAAAACGATATATATATATATATATGTGGTTTTGTAAATTCCCATGAGAAGATAGGGAACGATATAGCAACTAGCTAGTATATGGTCCCAGTCGTGCGTTTTTAAAACTTTGCCCAATACATACATCTGGATCAAGTTGCCTAATATAGCCATTATTGCTATGCCACTAGTGAACTCACCCCATTGATTCCAGTTTATAATCCCAACTTTTGGATGACAAATCACGAGCCTGCTTCTTGATCTCATTAAAATGTTAATTAAATAGCTAATTACGTGAAAGTTAAATCCGAATCAAGATTAAACATTTCTGCTTTCTCTTAATTTTGTTACGTATTTATTTATGCAGTAATGCATGTATGTACGTGGAAGTGGAACCCCCCTTGATTTCCGAAAACGGATCTGAAAATTAAGATTTAGGAAAATGCACGTAAATGGAACTCATTTTTACTGCCATGACGGAGAGCTGCTTGAGGTAAAAAAGAAAAGGAACTTTACCACGCACCCTCTTGGACTGCACACATTCATGGCTCTCCATATTGCCAGCCCTTCTTCGACACACAGAGAGAGCAGCCATTAATGCACCCTGCCACAGATCAGCCAAGCTACACTGCCACTGCCAGCCACCATCCTCTTCTATTCTATCTATATATTGAACCACCATCTGCATCTCACTGGTAGGCTGGCTCAGACATACACCAGACTTCCCCGCAAATAAGAAAACTAGCTAGTCTTCTACTTGTTTTTTGTTTGTTTTTTCCTCTCAGTGCAACCGTACGTGGCCAATCACCGCACGGCGGCCGCGAACGTTGCTCTGCCAATGGGGATGTCTCCAGTAGTGTCTGCTGTTATTGCACTGGTTGTTGTGGTAATCTGTGGGAATCTGGCTGGGGAAAGTGAAGCCGCGAGAGCATTCTTCGTGTTTGGTGACTCGTTGGTGGACAATGGCAACAACAACTTCCTCGCCACCACCGCCAGAGCCGACGCGCCGCCATACGGCATCGACTACCCGACCCACCGCGCCACCGGCCGCTTCTCCAACGGCCTCAACATTCCCGACCTCATTAGTACGTAATTCCCATTACTGTATTTTTCCTTCGGTTACATGTCAAGTGAAGTCGTCAATTTTTGTTTATGGTCATCATCCAAACAAACAGTATCTAACATGTCCCATCACGATCTTTAATTTTTTTGATATTGTTATAATGATAAGAGAAAGTGATATATTAGTTTCCCTTTTGATCAAACGTTCTGTTAACATCGTTGGACTGGCCGAGTGGTCCATTTTTCATTTCCATCGTCACACTGAAAAGTTCAAAAAATTCAATTCAATTTAATTTACAACTCAAATATTGCTTCTTCTTGTGATACTGTCACGTACATGGACATACATATTATATATATTTATCTAAAGAAACTTTTAATATTGTACATACGATAAGGGTTAATCAATTTGACTTTCTGTAGTTAATTAATAATTTTCTTTTGGTTATCTAATTACTAAGGTGAGGCGCTTGGCGCATCGGAGGCTACATTGCCGTATCTAAGCCCGGCGCTGAACGGTGAACGTCTTCTCGTCGGCGCCAACTTCGCCTCCGCCGGGATTGGCATTCTCAATGACACCGGCATCCAATTTGTAAGACGTTGCGTACATGTTATATTTTGTTTTTAATAATTTAGACTAGTTGTTTCTATAAATGAATTTAATATTTGTCCTTGGTTTTGGTTCAGCTGAACATCATAAGGATATCGAGGCAAATGCAGTATTTCCAGCAGTACCAGCAAAGAGTAGCCGGCTTGATTGGGCCGGTACAGGCCCAGCGGCTGGTCAACGACGCACTCGTCCTCATCACCTTGGGAGGGAACGACTTCGTCAACAACTACTATTTGGTCCCTTTCTCCGCCAGATCTCGCCAGTTTGCCCTGCCGGACTACGTCGTTTACCTCATCTCCGAGTACCGCAAGATCCTCGCGGTAAATCCTAAACATCTACCCGTGCACACCATTTCTGCGGTGCACTCACAAAAATGTACCGAAAAACACATACATTCTAGTTACGAAACCCTAAACCTCCATCATGTTCAATTTTTCCTGCTAGCTCCCGTGAATCTCATGGACCTAGCTAGCTAGCTAATTAGCAAGTAGAAACTTAGTTTCTTGGTATGTTGTAGACCCTCTTGCCCTAATTTATTGCTTTTCACCAACCAATATTTTATTTTTTCCGGCCTACCCTCTAATAGCTTCGGAGTACAATAAATCCGTAGCTCTAAAAAATTCGTACAGGCACAATAACTTACTAGTAAAAAAACCCAGCTACCAAGCTCTAGTGTGCCCCGTACATTAAATAATCACACATAGACTTGTCACGTACAATATTTTTGTGTGTGTGTTATTTGAGTACGTACGTACGTATGTACAATGGTGTAGTGAATGGAATGCTTAAATTATTGAATACTAATAATGCACAGAGACTGTACGAGCTGGGAGCTCGAAGGGTGCTGGTGACCGGAACGGGACCGTTGGGGTGCGTGCCGGCGGAACGGGCGATGAGGAGCCGTAACGGAGAATGCGCCGTCGAGCTCCAACGTGCCGCCGGTCTGTTCAACCCTCAGATGATCGACATGATCTCCAGCCTCAACGCCGAGATCGGCTCCCCGGTGTTCATCGCTGCCAATGCCCACGAGATGAACATGGATTTCGTCACCAACCCTCAGGCTTACGGTACATAATTCTTATCCTTCACCATTACTGGCTCTCTTTATCTTAATCTGTGATTAACGTCAAATTATCTGTATTTAGGCATGATTAGATGATAAAAAGTTAAAAACGTCACGTTGAAAAGGGAAGTAGCTAGAAGGCGGGTAGATGAGTGGGTGGTGGAAAATTGAAGGGGTAGGGTAGTTCTGTAGTACAGCTGGTGGGAGGGAGGGGAAAGTGATGGGACGATGACCTAAAATAAATGCCGCCTGCTGCTGCTGCTGCCGTAACATTAAATCGGGAAACAGGTCCACCGTCCTTTGGCCGGTGGGGCAACCCTTTCCTTTCCTTTCAGAGAAATCCTGTACGTAGCTAGTGGTATTATTTATGGATGGCTATAAGGATGATAAGCAAATCATATGTACGTATTGGGTTTCCATTTCCCAACTTGTCTCCGACCTACATACAGTTTCTAGAGGACCCTTATTAGGAAACTAGAGATACTTATGAAGGATTCTTTTTAGTTTCAATTTTTTTCTCTCTCTCTCTCTCTCTCTAAAGATGAGATGCGTTATTGATGGGTTATGCTAGTTAATCAGTAACATGACAATGTCGTAATCAGAAATTTGAACGACGGGTACAAATATCATTTCAGTGATATGAACCTTGGTCATTGGTGAGGGGGAATAGAGTATTACCAAGGTCCAAGTAGTTTATTTTTAGAATTTGTTATATATTGTATACGTAAATTTATTGGGCTATAAGCCTATAACCTCCCTTGAGCTTAACGTGAACACAAGTTAATTATGTGTACGTACTTGGGCATATGTTAGGGTTTGTGACGTCAAAGGTGGCTTGCTGCGGGCAAGGGCCATACAATGGGATAGGGCTGTGCACGCCGGCGTCCAACCTGTGCCCGAACAGAGACATCTACGCGTTTTGGGATCCGTTCCATCCGTCGGAGAGGGCGAACCGCATCATCGTCCAGCAAATCCTCACCGGCGACAACAAGTACATGCACCCGATGAACCTCTCCACCGTCCTCGCCATCGATAACTCAAGAACCTGAACCATCTGCCACACCACAGCGCTGGCCTGGTCGATGCCTAGCTAGCTAGCTAGCTACATATCTATCTGTCTATCGACTGCCCATCTATTTCTTTATTAATTAGTTTCTCCTTTAATATCTTCTCGTGTGTTTTCATATATCAGACGGAGAGAAGCAAGCTTAGTTAAAGCTCTCACTGCTAAGTCATAAGCTAATAACTACTTGCTATATAGAATTTCTTGTTAAACTGTGGTGTCTTTATTATTGTTTGGGTGAAGTTTGTTATTGGGTAGCTGGTAGCATGTATCTGTTGAAGGTTACTAAGAATATTGATGCATAATTGGATTGGATTTGGCGCATGTTTTTTTATGAGGATTCAACTTATCAACCGGCTGCCTCGCATCTTCGATGACAGCAGGCCATGGGCATATGTAAGCTCTTAATTAAAGCCAATCATACAATGGGATCTAGTCCCTATTCCTCGGCAAGTGGGCTCATTACTCCAAGTTGGTCCTTAAAGCTCAAGTTTAAACCCAACGGACAACGGTGACCTCGAACGCTACGAGGCACGTTTTATAGCGGAGGGGTTTATTTAGATTTTACGACTTTATTTCTAGGGATGGCATATCAGACCGCGCGGGCGGGTACCGCCCGAAAACCGGCTGGGCGGAGCAGTTCTTACCCGGAGTTGACGGTGATTTAACGGATTCGGGGAAACCCGTTATCCGTGGATAACGGACATCGGGCGGTGACGGAGTCCAGGCTATCCGCCCCGAGCCCGCCCCGAGCCATAAAAACGACGTCGTATTATGAGCATATATATATCCATCAGTCGAGCAGCTGGAGAAACCCTAATCCCTAATTGGAAAATCGCCGCTCTCTCAGTCTCTCACTCTCTCTTCTCTTCTCAGTTCTCTGCTCTCAATCGCCGCTCAAATCCATCGATTCGATTCCCCCCGCGAAATTCTCTCCACCCAGGCTGTCAATCATTCATTATCCACCAATCAAAGCCTAATATCCTCATCGATTTAGGCAAAGAACAACATGCAAAAGGAGAAGAATCAGAAGATGACTGTTCCAATCTCCGATTCGAGGTTATTGGGAGGATTTGTCGTCGATTATTGTTCCGATAATCCAGAACTCGAGATAAATACCTTCCAATTCAATTCTTCTTTCTTGTTTCAGTTTCTTGCTATAGTTGTAGGTTCGTTTAAATTAACTCGAGTCGATTGGTTCTTTCTAGGGCTCTTCAGTTTCATCTTCATCTGCACCTGGGACTGCATGCATGCTCTGATACTCGAGGTAATCCCTAATCAAATTTCCTTAGTCAGTTACTCAGTTAGTTTTTAGTAATTAGTAGTTTGTTGTATTGACTTTGACTCATTGGATTGTAATGTTTGTACTTTTGTTTGAGTTTTTGCAGTTTTGTATCAGGCACCAGTTCACCATCCACAACTCTGGACAATAGACCCCCTCTGTCCAGATTCAAGGTTAGTTAAAGAATTAAGGACATTTTACTTAATTTGGTTTGCATGTATTAGGAATTAGGGACTCGAGTTTCTGTTGATTGCCTGGGTGTTGGGTCTACTCATGAATCATGTCTTGTTTAGTATAAGTGTCTCATCTGCATGTTAATTGAATCTAAAAGACTATACATTTGAACCTAGAAATCTTATAGCTAAAGCCTAAAAATTAACCAAGCAATTCTTTGATGTTTATACTCGTTTATGCTCCTGTTCCTCCACAACCTGCCCCTGTTGATCAAAACAACCAACCTGAACAAGTTGTTAATGGTTGTTGCCTTGCTGGTGCCTTTGAGAGTTTGGCTTACTGCCTTTGAGAGTTTGAGTTTGAGTGTGCTTTATTTGTTCCAAATTTGAACAATGGATTGGTGTGTGGCTTACTGCCTTTGAGAGTTTGAGAGTGGTTTACTTGTTTTTTCTTTGCTACTTATGACTATTAGACAGTTGATGAACTCATGAACAATTGAGGAACTCTTGAAAATTCAGAGTTCTGGGTGGTGGGTGGGTTGCAGCCTTATAGGCTTTATGTTAAGCTGCTTTTGATGGTGCTCAACTTTGAATTTGAACTGAATTATGTTTTTCCAGTTATTTTATTGTTTGAATATGTTAATTATTTAGGGTTTCTAGCGGGTAACGGGGACCTGTGGATTCCACGAATCCGTTGCTTCACGGTGACGGTAGCAAATTTGGCCCCGTTGAATGGCCGGGGACGGGGTCGGGGAAACCCGACACTGCTCACGGATGGTATGAATCCGTCCCCGATCCGCCCCGTTGCCAACCCTATTTATTTCCATGAGACCTTACACCCGCAGCTAAAGCTCCTTACCATTTGTTGGCTTATAAGAAACTTAACCAACTCGACATGAACAATCCTCTTTTCCATAGTGACCTCCCACGATTGGCCAGAAACGACTTCTTTTTATCATCAATTTTGCTGGTACATTTCTACCTCACTACTGCTGTTTCTTAACCTCAAAGCATTTAAGATGGAAAGACAAAAAAAAAAAAAAAAAAGGATAAGCAAGCCATAGAAAGTCTTGAACAGATTTGGTAGGGAGAAGTTTAGAGAAGAAATAAAAGAGAGATGGATGTGACGTGAGTTCTCAAAATGAGAAGAATGGGGAAAGAATTGTATGTTTTATGTCAAAATAAAGGGTAAATGTGATTTTTCACCAAAAAAGTTATTTTATGTAAATTAATCCCGAAATTATAAACTCAATAACCAAATTATGTAATGTTAAATACAACGATTGTATCAATATTGTATTTTATATTGCAATGATTATTCACAATACAACAATTTAACCAATATAACAATTTAACATACCTATAACTCACTATAAAAAAAGGGTCTGTGGCAAGGGTTATTTTCATCCGTAGCAAGGGTTCATACAACCCTTGGTTGGACCCTTGGCAAAGCCGCCCCTGCTACGTGTAGCAAGGGTTATAAGCGACCCTTGGTGCAAGTTCTTTGCAGCGGGTATAACAAGGGTTTAAACCCTTGGTATTTGTCTTTATAAAATTCAAGTACCAGTCCCTCGTAGCATGGGTTTAAAACCCTTGGAAGATTCGTTCCTACACCTAATAAGGGTTTGAACCCTTGCTACACGCCTATGCAAATTTATATAAATAGGGGATAGTGACAAGGGTTAAAACCCTTGCACAGTTTGTGGCTAAAGCTGGGAAACATTTGTGTCAAAATCAAAACGGTGACTAAAGTCGTTACTAAAGCTAAGCAACAGATTTTGTAACTATAGCTTGGATGCTAATACCCTGGTCATCAAAAACAAATCCAGATTCGTTACTAAAATTCATAACATACCATATTACACTTCATATCCTGAATCACAACATAATATGATTCATCATAAAAAATGGTGTTATTTACATGACTATATACTAGTCACCATAAACATTCAAACATAATCAAAGGGGAAATATTATGTTCATGATATTTTGAGTACTGAAAAGAAACCGATTCAAAGCTACATCGATCATTTCCAAAATGCTTCATATAAGACATGTACAACATCTGATCACGAAGCTCGAGAACCCATTAACGGAGCAGCTTCACTAGTGGCACCCTGTTAACAAAAGAAAATAATTGTCAACACTAGTTCAAGTACACTAATTCAAGAGCTAATTGGCCTAAGAAAACAAGCAGGAAGGTGAGCTGTCAATCTTGAATGATTCACAGCCAATGAGAGAGTAGATGAGTAGTTTAAAACGTAATTCAGCCACAGTTTAAATTGTACTAAACATCACAACAACCAGAAGTATTACTTGCTACCTAAAATGTAAGCTAAGTGATAGACCGTTAATTACACATGTTTTTACCCCCGTTCTTACACCGTTTGAGGTGTTGATTCTCGTGTTTTAGGCCAATTTCACGCTAGGTTGTGCTTGTTTGTGATATTTCAGGTCCTAGTACGTGAATGGAGGCTTGGGAGCGAGTCTGGGGTCGATTGGACGAAGATCGGACGCGTGGCGAGGTGCCAAGGAAGCTGCACGGGCAGACCGGGGTATCACACGGCCGTGCAAATGACAATTGTGGCCGTGTGATTTCCGCCGAGAGCAAACACGGGCAACTCAGGAAATCCACACGGCCGTGCAACCCTGGCCGTGTGAGATGGCTGAAGATCGAACTTAATAGGACGCTGCGTTTTGACTCACACGACCAAATGGGTGAGCCACACGGCCGTGTGGCCTGCCTGTGTGAGTCGGGAAATTCTGGTTTTTCAGCCAATTTTCGAGCCAAAAGTGTGAGAATCGGATTTTCAGAGCAAAAACAGAGCCCTAGAGAGAGAAAGTACGAAGAACACATCCTAGAAGCTATCTTGGAGCTGGGTTTCGTCAAATCGAGCTTGGAGATTATCATAGGAGTGTAAATCATCATCCCGGAGCAGATTCTCCTCATCATTATGAGTATGACTAATCCGATTACTGTTTTCTTCTCTCTCTCTATGGAGTAGAACCCTTCTCTCACTTGGGTATGAAGAACCCTAGTTCCTTGTGTTAGGGATTTGATTGTAATGACTTGGGTTGATTATACTGTTTGATTTTAATCGAATGATGCATGTTTATTGAATTGTTTGAAGTCTGATCAGCTTTTCTCGATTTCTGCTGCAACCTGAGATAGATAGAATCTGATTAGGTTGTTAGAGCCTCTTCATTCGATAGTAGGAGATTGGTTATACGAGAGTTAGCCAGTTTACTGCTTTGTACTGGAATTGAATTCCAGTAGTGGAGTTCTGTGCTTATTGCTTCAGCTTTCTATCCCGGTGAAGACTAGTCGTCTGCCGGGTAGTTAGACTGAGAGGGCTTGGTCAGCTTAAGAGATTCCAAGCTAATTTCAGATCTTCCGCAGTTTAATCAACAGTGAATCAGCCCAGGGGAATTATAATTGAACCTAACTAAGGGGCTAGGGGGACTCATTCCCGAGTGACTCTTTCCTGCTTTTGAAAACCGAACCATTTACTGCTTTCTTGCTGCTTTTGCTTTAAACAACAATCACTCGAATTAGTTTGCTAGATAATAAATCATCACGGAGTAAGCAGTAGATCTAGACCCCGGGTTGATAATAGAACTTGCCTGTTACTGCATTCCCGGACTGCGATTATACTTGGTCGCAGTTTGGTGTTGTGTTTTGGCGTGTCAAGTTTTTGGCGCCGTTGCCGGGGAACCTCTAGGTTATTGGGGAAACGTGAGAATTTGTTACTCTAGCTTTTTTATTTTCTTTTCCACCCTTGCTTTTCACTTGGGTGTTATGTTTTTGTTGGTGCAGCTCTGAAACATGGATCATCATGGCTTCTCCAACCATTGGGGGTATCAACCACCATCCGTGTGGTATTACCCCGAGACTTCCTGGAGCAATCAAGGAGGAGAAGACTATGGATTCGGATGTCAGTACCAACCCCCCTACTATGGAGAACAACCAAACCCTTGG